GGATATTAGGTCAGTGATGTATTTCGGGGCAGTATGGTGGACGGCTTTGTACATCAGTGTTAGGATTTTGAATTTGATCCGTTGCGCAATCGGAAGCCAGTGGAGGGATTGGCAGAGGGGGGTGGTGGAGGACAGAGTGGTTGGAAAGATGAATGAGTCTGGCAGCCGTATTCAGGATGGACTGAAGCGGGGATAGCCAGCGGCGAGGCAGGCCAGTGAGGAGGGAGTTGCAGTAGTCGAGTCGTGATATGATGAGGGAGTGGATGAGCTGTTTAGTGGTTTTTGGGGTTAGGAACGTGCGGATTTTGGCGATGTTGCGGAGGTGGAGTCTGCACAAGCTTGTTAAAGATTGGACTTGGGGCTGGAAGGATAGGTTGGAGTCCAGAATGACACCAAGTACTCTGGCCTGCGGGGCGGATTTGATGGTGGCATTGTTGGATGTGATGGAGAAGTCAATGGGGGGTGGGCTCCGGGCTGGGGGAAGACAAGAAACTCGGTTTTGGAGAGGTTCAGTTTAAGGAAGTGGAGCGACATCCAGTCTGATATGTCGCTCAGTAGGTGTTGTGATTCGGGCGGAGACCGAGGGGGTGAGGTGGGGGGTTGAGAGATAGATTTGTGTGTTGTCGGCATAGAGGTGGTAGTTGAAGCCGTGAGAGTGTATGAGTTGGCCAAGGGAGGAGGTGTAGATGGAGAAGAGAAGGGGCCCGAGGACAGAGCCTTGAGGGACCCCAACAGAGAGGGGGAGTGAGGGGGAGGTGGTAGCATTATAGGTAACGCTGAAAGAGCGTTGTGACAGGTAGGATGAGAGCCAGGAGAGAGCAGAATCTCTGAGGCCAAAGGAGTGTAGTTTTTTGAGGAGGAGGGGGTGGTCAACTGTGTCGAAGGCCGCAGAGAGGTCAAGGAGTAGGAGCACTGAATAGTGGCCATTAGCTTTGGTGGTTAGAAGGTCGTTGGAGAGTTTGAGTAAGGCGGTTTCGGTGGAGTGTAGGGGACGGAAGACGGACTGTAGGGGATCGAGGAGGTTGTTGTCTTTGAGGTGAGAGCTTAGGTGGGTGTAGACTAGGGCTCAAGGAGTTTGGATGTAAATGGGAGCAGGGAGATGGGTCTGAGGGTTGTTCGGGTCATTGGGGTCCAGGGAGGGCTTTTTAAGTATGGGGGTAATGTGTGCATGTTTCAGAGGGGAGGGGGAGGTGAAGTGCCGGAGGAGAGGGAGAGATTAAAGATGTGGGTGAGGGAGCGTAGGATGGAGGGGGAGGATAGGTTGTAGGAGTTGTGAGGGGACAGGGTCGAGGGGGCAGGTGGTGAGGCGGGCATCAGAGAGGACCTTGGAGACTTCCTCGATGGTAGTAAGGTCAAAGGTGCGGAGTGTTGGGGGGGCTTCAGTATGAGGAATGTAGGGTGAGGTGGAAGTGGAGGTCAGAGCAGTGGTGGGGAGGTGTGGGAGAGGGATGATGAGGGGGTTGCTGAGTGAGGGGGACGGGGGGGTTGGAGGGAGTTTTGAGCAGCAGCAACGAAGTCCCTGCGGGTTATTTTGAGGGGGAGGGGGGATGAGGGGGTAGCTGTGTGAGAGGGGACGGGTTGGGAGGGCGTGTGAGTTGCGGCGATGTCCTTGCAAATTGTTTCAATCTTGTTTTTGAAGTGATTGGCAATCTCAAGGGCAGTGAGTGAGGTGCTGGGTGGAGGTGGGGGTGGCGAGAGTAGAGAGTTGAAGGTGAAGAAGAGTCGGCGAGGATTGGAGGAGAGGGCCTTGATGAGGGTCAGGAAGTAGGCTTGCTTGGCTGCATGGAGGGAGGAGGTGTAGGTGTGAAGGCAGATTTATAGCGGGTGAAGGCTTGTTGAGATTTGGTTTTGCGCCATAGTCGCTCCAGGGCACGACTGTGTCGTTTGAGGGTTTTGGTGTGATCAGTCTGCCAGGTCTGGAGCGGTCGGGGTCTGATGTTGCGTGTGGTTAAAGGCGCTAGTGAGTCAAGGGCTGTTGACAGCACGTTGTTGTAGGCAGTCATAGCCAAGTCGGGGCAGGACAGGGGGAGGATGCTGTCATGGAGTTGATCAGCTGCAGAGTGGAGGGAGGCAGGGTTAAGGTTGCGGAGGTTACGGCGTAGTAGTAGTGTGACATTTGGACGGGTAGGCGTTGGAGGACAAGGAGATAGAGAAGGTAATCAGGTTGTGGTCAGAGAGAAGGAAGGGGGTGTTAGTGAGGTTGTGGGGAGCGCAGCGGTTGGAGAAGACAAGATCAAGGATATTACCGTCGGAGTGGGTGATGGATTGTATGCACTGTGCAAGTGCAAAGGAGGAGGTTAAGTGGAGGAGATGGGATGTGTCCGGGTTGTCGAGGTTGACAGGGATGTTGAAATCCCCAAGGATGATGGTGGCTAGCACAGAGGAGAGGAAGTAGGGTAGCCAGGTGGAAAAGTCATCCAGGAAGCGGATAGAGACAATCTGTTGCCGAAAAAAAGAAGTGAAAGGTTAAGATAACGAAGGTTTCCAGGGGTAACTGGTAGTTAGAAGACAAGGAGGAGGAAGCCAAGGAGAAAGTGAAGCTAATAAGGGATCAGAGAGAGGAAGAGGAAAGTTGGTGAGGTTGCAAGGAGTGCATAGGTAGGAGAATACAAGGTGGAGGCAGTTACCATTGGAGTGAGTAGAAGCATGCGTCCATTGTTTTAGGTCAAAAGAAGTGGTTGGGCTCAGAAGTTTAGAGGTAGCAGAAGTGTTTACGATTAACAGGGATGTTGATGTCACCAAGAATGATAGTGGGAATTTCAGAAGAGAGAAAGTAAGGCAGCCTGGCAGGGAAGTCATCAAGGAAGCTGGATATCGGTCCAGGAGGACGATAGATCACAGCAATTCTTAAAGAAACTGGAGAGAACAGACAAATACAGTGAACTTCAAATGAGGAGAGGGACAGAGAGGGAGGTGAATGGAGGACCTGAAAAGTGCTTTGAGGGGATAGGAGGATTCCTACTCCACCTCCTTTCCATCCACTAGCCCTGGGAGAGTGAGTCCAGAGGAGACCACCATGGGAGAGGGCAGCAGGAGAGGGAGAGTCAGATTCATGAAGTCAGGTTTCTGTAACTGCAAGCAAGTTAAAGGAGTTTGTGATATAAAAAGGTCATGGACAGAGTGAGATTGTTACAGACAGAGCGGGCATTCCAGAGGACACAGGAAATAATCATCATCATCATCAGGTCACCTGATCTCCCTTGGAATGACTGGTGACTGCATTGGTTTGTGGTGTGAATGGATCTGAACCTCCTTTTGTCACCTCTTCCTTTATATCTTGGTTGAATATACAGATGTTGTTACGTTCAGCACTTTGTTGGCTGTCTTGGTTGTACATTACTATAATATGTCTGCTGTCCAAGTAAGATGAGTGCACATTGCAGGCCGGAGTCTTCTCTTCATCACCCTGCTGGTCATTGATCATCAACACAATGGAGGAGTTTATTTTTTTAATTACTTTTATTTTTCCTTCATGTTCTTTTTTTTCAAGTTTGATGGACAATTACATTTTGTAAAATGCAATAAAAAAAATAAAAAGAATCTCCTTACATTTAGGGGTCCATTCATAAAAGATGTCATAACAATTTATCTGGCAAGAGTGCGTGTCCATTCCTTCTGTGTGACTGGGGGAATGATGGCTGTTATTAGGATATTTGCTGGTCGAATGATCTCCATTGATTTAAAATGGAAAATACCACATGTGCCACTAGATGGAGAGTATTGCTAAAAAACGTAGCGCCATCTAAAGGCCAAATGTGGTATTTTCCATATTAAATCAATGACTGGTTGAATATTGTTGGTTTATTGGACTTTTGTCCTTCTATGTCTGATGTACTCATACCTGCAGGAGTATGATCTCAGGGATTAGTATGACACCGTGCCTGAAGAAAAAAACTAACTACCTAAAGAAAATTTGTTGGACAAACGTGATGATCATTCATCCGCCATGACAAATTCTGGCCCTACTTTAACACAGTGATTTCTTATGATCATCAGCTCCATCTAGTGACCAAAATGGGGGATTTTTCCTGAAATGAACTCAGAGTAAAAAAAAAAAAACTGCATTATCTGGCCACTAGATGGAATAAATCAGAGTATGAAATTATTATTATTATACAGGATTTATGGCGCCAACAGTTTGCTCAGCGCTTTACAATATAACAGGAGACAATACAGCAACAATACAGATCAATACAAGAGGGATAGGAGGGCCCTGATCCTCAGAGCTTACAATCTAAAAGATAAAATACATCCAATATTCATCACAGCTGGGCGAATGCCGGTCACATCTGTTCAATTAAATATTTTTTAAAAATAGAATGCAAAATCTCCCACCACAAAATATACTCAGCCAATGACAGGTCAGGACTCCATTTTTATTCTTCTTCTGCCATCAATGGCCAACCCGGTCCCACACTTCATCCATGTCTTTGGGGACCTCTGATCTCCTTATGAACTGTTTTTCTTCCATGATGAAGATCAGCCATGGAGTATATCTGAGGTGTATATCAGGGTGTGCTTCTTCCCCACATGAGAGCTGGGATGTCCAGCAACATTCATCTAGAAGACATTTCCCGCACTCAAGGCACTAATACACCTCCAGGGTTGTGTGGGACCCCTGATGTACAGGAAGACAGGACTTCAGTGAGGAACATTTCCCTCACTCATGTCCGGAACGCGGCTTCTTCCCCGTGTGAGATCTCTGATGTCCAGAAAGATAGGACTTCTGTGAAAAACATTTCCCGCACTCAGGACAGGAATACGGTTTCTCCCCTGTGTGCAATTTCCGATGTTTGTAAAGATCAGACTTCTGTAAAAAACTTTTCCCGCACTCAGGACAGGAATATGGCTTTTCCCCTGTGTGAGACCTCTGATGTCTGTAAAGATTGGACTTGTCTGAAAAACATTTCCCACACTCAGGACAGGAATACGGCTTCTCTCCCGAGTGAGATCTCTGATGTGTGTCAAGATGGGACTTAAATGAAAAACATTTCCCACACTCAGAACAGGGAAAGTGGCTTCTCCCCTTTGTGAGATCGCTGATGTGTGTAAAAATCTGAAGTGTCTAAAAAACATTTTGCACTTAGGACAGGAATACGGCTTCTCCCCGTGTGATATCTCTGATGTCTCTGTTCAGACTGGACTTCCATGAAAAACATTTCCCGCACTCAGGACAGGAATATGGCTTTTCTCCTGTGTGAGATCTCTGATGTTTGTGATAAAAGGACTTGTCTGAAAAACATTTCCCGCACTCAGGACAGGAGTATGGTTTTTCCCCTTGTGAATCCTTTCATGTGTGACAAGATCTGATTTTACTACAAAACATTTCCCGCACACAGAACAGGAATACGGCTTCTCCCCCTTGTGAAACCTCTGATGTCTGTAAAGTTGGAACTTCCTTAAAAAACATTTCCCACAGTCAGGACAGGAGTGCGGTTTTTCCCCCGTGTGACGCCTTTGATGGGTGACAACATCTGATTTTAGTACAAAACATTTCCCACACTCAGAACAGGAATATGGCTTCTCACCTGTGTGAAACCTCTGATGTCTGTAAAGTTGGGACTTCCTTAAAAAACATTTCCCGCACTCAGGACAGGAATACGGCTTCTCACCTGTGTGAGATCTTATATGGACATTAAGACCATATTTAGAACGGAAACCTTTCCCACACTCAGTACAGGAGAAGCTCTTCCCTGTTGGAAGGCCGGCCCGGTCCCGCACAGTCTGAGGTTCCTCAGGATACGAGGAATCCGATGGTCCATCTACACTGGGTGGGGCCGGATGGACATTGGAGGGAGGCGGGTTTTCTCCTAGAATATACTGTATGATGTCCTCATCTTCTACTTTCCATTCTGGAGACAAAGTGAGACAATCCTCGGAGGTTTTCCTCATCTCCCGGCCATGGACTAAAATACAAAGACAAAGAGGATTACTAGACAGAAGCTGATTGGTTTCCCCAAACAGGACTCCGCCCACATCAGGCAGCTTGGTCTAGATGGGTGACTTCCATCATGACTTTGTACACACTTTCCAGAAACATGATGCTACTTCAAAGCAAACATCGAAACTTCGAAGGGATTATAAAGTCCCAAGCACATTCCATTCACACCTGAGCATAGCCGAAATGTAAGTTCCCACTGTGACAGACCCAACCGGGACATGGGCTTTTGGAGGGGACTACAGGCTAGCCTCTTGCCTACTGACCATGGCCCTGGTGTCTGAGGGGGCTTATTCTTTGGTGTGTGCCTGGGGGGACCTTTGGAGTAGCTTACTTGGGACTCAAGTCCATATCTCCCCAAAACACACAGACTCTGAGAACTGGAGGACCAAGATACAGATTTGGGGTCCCTGTCCCCAAACTAGAATTGACTGTTTTCAATCCCCCTCCTTCCTAGACTCAGAGACTCTAAGAAGATGTTGATATAATCAGTAAAACAACCTGATGCTGAGGACTCTTGCTGGAATCTGTTTATTAAGGTGTGATGTGTCTTTCTCCCATTGTGTGCCTCCTAGGTGTGCATTGTTAATGGAGTCACCTATTGTTTGTCTGTTGGGAAGTCCTTCTGGAGGTGCCTACATGATAGGATTAGACCGATGTCAGCTTCACCTCGTTATCTAACCAGTGTGGGATGTTTATCCTGATGGAGGTCCTTCTGGAGGTGCCTACATGATAGGATTAGACCGATGTCAGCTTCACCTCGTTATCTAACCAGTGTGGGATGTTTTATCCTGATGGAGGTCCTTCTGGAGGTGCCTACATGATAGGATTAGACCGATGTCAGCTTCACCTCGTTATCTAACCAGTGTGGGATGTTTATCCTGATGGAGGTCCTTCTGGAGGTGCCTACATGATAGGATTAGACCGATGTCAGCTTCACCTCGTTATCTAACCAGTGTGGGATGTTTATCCTGATGGAGGTCCTTCTGGAGGTGCCTACATGATAGGATTAGACCGATGTCAGCTTCACCTCGTTATCTAACCAGTGTGGGATGTTTATCCTGATGGAGGTCCTTCTGGAGGTGCCTACATGATAGGATTAGACCGATGTCAGCTTCACCTCGTTATCTAACCAGTGTGGGATGTTTATCCTGATGGAGGTCCTTCTGGAGGTGCCTACATGATAGGATTAGACCGATGTCAGCTTCACCTCGTTATCTAACCAGTGTGGGATGTTTATCCTGATGGAGGTCCTTCTGGAGGTGCCTACATGATAGGATTAGACCGATGTCAGCCTCACCTTATCTAACCAGTGTGGGATGTTTATCCTGATGGAGGTCCTTCTGGAGGTGCCTACATGATAGGATTAGACCGATGTCAGCTTCACCTCGTTATCTAACCAGTGTGGGATGTTTATCCTGATGGAGGTCCTTCTGGAGGTGCCTACATGATAGGATTAGACCGATGTCAGCTTCACCTCGTTATCTAACCAGTGTGGGATGTTTATCCTGATGGAGGTCCTTCTGGAGGTGCCTACATGATAGGATTAGACCGATGTCAGCTTCACCTCGTTATCTAACCAGTGTGGGATGTTTATCCTGATGGAGGTCCTTCTGGAGGTGCCTACATGATAGGATTAGACCGATGTCAGCTTCACCTCGTTATCTAACCAGTGTGGGATGTTTATCCTGATGGAGGTCCTTCTGGAGGTGCCTACATGATAGGATTAGACCGATGTGTCAGCTTCACCTCGTTATCTAACCAGTGTGGGATGTTTATCCTGATGGAGGTCCTTCTGGAGGTGCCTACATGATAGGATTAGACCGATGTCAGCTTCACCTCGTTATCTAACCAGTGTGGGATGTTTATCCTGATGGAGGTCCTTCTGGAGGTGCCTACATGATAGGATTAGACCGATGTCAGCTTCACCTCGTTATCTAACCAGTGTGGGATGTTTATCCTGATGGAGGTCCTTCTGGAGGTGCCTACATGATAGGATTAGACCGATGTCAGCTTCACCTCGTTATCTAACCAGTGTGGGATGTTTATCCTGATGGAGGTCCTTCTGGAGGTGCCTACATGATAGGATTAGACCGATGTCAGCTTCACCTCGTTATCTAACCAGTGTGGGATGTTTATCCTGATGGAGGTCCTTCTGGAGGTGCCTACATGATAGGATTAGACCGATGTCAGCTTCACCTCGTTATCTAACCAGTGTGGGATGTTTATCCTGATGGAGGGTGCCTACATGATAGGATTAGACCGATGTCAGCTTCACCTCGTTATCTAACCAGTGTGGGATGTTTATCCTGATGGAGGTCCTTCTGGAGGTGCCTACATGATAGGATTAGACCGATGTCAGCTTCACCTCGTTATCTAACCAGTGTGGGATGTTTATGCTGATGGATACTATTTGTGGGGACTGCCCCTATTTCTGGAGTGTATAAAAACTGTATTTCTGTTCAGTAAAGTCGTTCTTGTTTGACATCTAAGCTAGTCTCGTCTAGTCTTGGGTGCAATGCCCGGCTACAATACCTTGGGCCTGTGTCCTGGAGGTGAGGAAGTGGTTCTTGATGATGGAATCACCCATTTGGGGTGATAGGCATTCCGTCACATTTGGTGACAGCAGTGGGATCCTGCAGTCTGGGACATCCAAACCACCACTGGGATCTGAGGTCCGGTTAGCAGAAGAGGAGAGGTATGGACACCAGCCGCCATGGAAGGAATACCTGAAGGAGGATGTGAGATCTGGATGCAGCACAGAGTCATGGATTACAGGGACCAGGTGCTGAACATCTCAGAAGTGTGCTGGGCACAGGAAGATATGGAGTTTCTAGGCCTTCAGGAATGGGAGGGTTCCAAGCATATAAAAATATTGTTCGACAAAGCTCATCAGTATGGCCAGCACCCATGGATGGGATGGATTATGAGTTACCCACCGAAGTGCTGCAAACCTGTGCCCTGGATTTTCAGCAATTCCAGAGACTGAGGATTTAATCAGACTTTTCTGCTAAGGAGGAACAACCCAGTGAGCCTCCAACAGAAGAGCTGGCATTGAGGCAGAGTGCTGCTGCCTCTGCCTACAACCATTGGAGGCCCTGGAGGATTTGTGCGAGGCCACCAAATTTTCATTTTGTTTCCCAGTGTAAGAGCTAGCATCAGGGCAGAGCACTGCTGGCCTCTGTCCACCACCAATAGCACTTCTGGAGCTCCATGAAGCCAGGGTGGGCACCCCTTCTCCACACAGCAGCAGGCCGATACAGTGGGACTCCTAACCCCAGCTGAAGCACTGGCAGCAGAGCAGAGTACCGCCAGTCTCTGCCCATACACAATCCCAGAAGAAGAGCTGGCAACACGACAGAGGGTTCAAGACCTTTGCCCCACATCTGCAGCAGTTTCAGGGGCCCAGGGAGAGGAGGTGGTCATCCTCCCTCCCCAGCAACAGATCCACAGTGCGTGAGAAGAGGTGGTCATCCTCCCTCCCCAGCAACAGATCCACAGTGCCTGAGAAGAGGTGGTCGTCCTCCTCCCTCAGTCTCCAGAGAACCCGGCGACAGATCCACAGTGCCTGAGAAGAGGTGGTTGTCCTCCCCTCCCCGGCGACAGATCCACAGTGCGTGAGAAGAGGTGGTCGTCCTCCCTCCCCAGCAACAGATCCACAGTGCCTGAGAAGAGGTGGTCGTCCTCCTTCCCCGGCGACAGATCCCACAGTGCATGAGAAGAGGTGGTCGTCCTCCCTCCCCAGCGACAGATCCACAGTGCGTGAGAAGAGGTGGTCGTCCTCCCTCCCCAGGGACAGATCCACAGTGCGTGAGAAGAGGTGGTCGTCCTCCCTCCCCAGCGACAGATCCACAGTGCGTGAGAAGAGGTGGTCGTACTCCCTCCCCAGCGACAGCTCCACAGTGCGTGAGAAGAGGTGGTCGTCCTCCCTCCCCAGTGACAGATCCACAGCGCCTGAGAAGAGGTGGTCATCCTCCCCTTCCAGAGACAGATCCACAGTGCGTGAGAAGAGGTGGTCATCCTCCCTCCCCAGCAACAGATCCACAGCGGGTGAGAAGAGGTGGTCATCCTCCCTCCCCAGCGACAGATTCACAGTGCGTGAAAAGAGGTGGTCGTCCTCCCTCCCCACCTGGCAACAGATCCACAGCGGGTGAGAAGAGGTGGTCGTCCTCCCTCCCCAGCAACAGATCCAAAGTGCTTGAGAAGAGGTGGTCGTCCTCCCTCCCTGGTGACAGATCCACAGTGCGTGAGAAGAGGTGGTCATCCTCCCTCCTTCCAGAGACAGATCCACAGTGCGTGAGAAGAGGTGGTCATCCTCCCTACCTGGCGACAGATCCACAGTGCATTAGAAGAGGTGGTCGTCCTCCCTCCCCCGACAGATCCACAGTGCGTTCCCAAAAGTCAGCCAGAGCGGAGGATTTGTGGTCCCCAGCTGAAGTGCTGGCAACATGGCAGAGCGCTGCTGGCCTCTGTCCAGCACCAACAGAACTTCCAAAGCTCCAGGGAGTCAGGTTGGGCAGCCCTGATCTCCAGCAGCAGGCTGATACAGTGGGACTCCTAACCCCAACTGAAGCACTGGCAGCAGAACAGAGTACCGCCAGTCTCTGCACATACACAGTCCCAGAAGAAGTGCTGGCAACAGGACAGAGGGTCCAAGACTTCTGCCCCACAGCCACAGCAGTTCAAGGGCCCCAGGGAGAGGAGGTGGTTGTTCTCCCTCCCCAGCAGCAGTTCAGGGACTCATGAGTGAAGGAAGTCATCCTCGCTCTACAACAGGAGTCCAGGAGTTCGAGCAGTTCCACAGTCTGGGAGAGGAGGTGGTCATCCTCCCTCCCCAGTGGCAGTTTAAGGACCCAGGAGAGGAAAAGTCATCCTCCCTCCCCAATGGTAGATCCACAGTCTGGGAGAAGAGTCATCCTCCCTCCCCAGTGGTAGTTCCAGGAGAGGAGAAAGT